GGGGCTTATTTAATTTTTCCTAAATCGTGGTCAGATATGATCAGGGTTTTTTCGTAATATCTTTATATGTCAGTCCCTCAGAAGTCTCTCAGAAGGGTCTTGTCTCTCTTAGAGAACTACGTAATATAACCCCTTTGGTCGGTTTAAGCATGCTACACGCACAAGGTTGGCTGGGCTTTAGGCAGTGAATCATCAGATCTTCATTGCCGTCCGGTGCGACGGTCAATTTGCAGTGCTTGAATGAGTCAACGATCACTTGCTGTGGTGATTGGGCACGACCAACACGACCAAAACTATACATCCTGTGTTGTCTCAGTACTCTTGGATAAAACAAGGGGAGTAGAGGGGGCGCTTGTTCGAAGAGAGGCGCTTTTTTAAATTTTGGCCGATGGGAAGGGCGCTTATTCGAAGGGGGCGCTTATTTAAGAGGGGGAGGAGGAGGAGGTCCTAGTTCGAGGATTTACGGTATCTATGTAGGAAAAGTTTTCCAAAGCCTTATATTTCAAGAAAATGCAATGAATTTATTTGTTAAACACCGCAAAGAAGCTGGTAAAAAGTGACAGTTTACTCAAAGCTAGTTCAACAAGGATCCGAATCGTAGAGTTCCGAAATCAGCGACTTTTTACCTTTGCTCTCAAGAAGATTCTACCTTCGCGTCTGAGTTAAATGTCCTGTAAACGTCGAACTCATGACGCAGCGCAACATTTTCAGGTTGCGAGATCATTAGTATTTTTGAACTAGAAATTATTTCTCGAATCCGTCCCAGCGGTCGATGACCCAATCTCAAACTTTCAGGGTTTTAAAAACTGACTAAAACCAAGAATAATGACAATCTGTCAGGCAGGCATTTTACCATAATGGGAAAATGTCGAATTTTGACTTCCTTTAAGGTAACAGAAACGCAGACCTCCTTGAATTTAAGGTCTCTGTCAGAAAATAAATTATGAATTTTTCATTGTAGGTTATATGGTCATTTTTCGCGTTATTTGAGATTGCATTGGTCGACCGCCAATCTTATTTATTCTCCCACATTATTGTTCGCCCTGTTCGAGCGCGTGACATAATTTGCAAAGTGATTATAAGAAGGCTAACAAAGAAATGAAAGAATAAGATGGAAAAAGGAAAGAAAAAAGCGAATAGATACGGTTCGCAAAACAAGGATAGCCCAAATTTCTAGTTGTAATTACTACATATCCAGCACAAAGACATCGATTTCTGATCCCAATTTCACGCCTGCACTTCCAAATGACTAGAAAAAGGGGATTGACTTTGGGAGTTTCTTGTAATTACCTATATACCCCGCACCAAGACATCGATGACCCCGATTTTCGTTTTCATACGTTATTTTCCAAATCTCCAGAAAAAGCGGAGTTGACTTCGCGAGTTTCTCAGTTGTGATTACCTACATATACCGCACTAAGACATCGATTTATGACCCCAATTTTACGCATACACTTCCAAATGACTAGAAAAACAGAGTTGACTTTGCGAGTTTCTTGTAATTACCTACATACCCCGTACCAAGACATCGATTTCTGACCCCGATTTTTCGTTTTCATACGTTATTTTCCAAATCACCAAACAAAGCGGAGTTCCCTTTGCGAGTTTCTCAGTTGTAATTACCTACAGATCCCGCACTGAGACATCGATGTCTGACCCCAGTTTCACGCATGCACTTCCAAATAACTAGAAAAACGGGATTGACTTTGCGAGTTTCTTGTAATCACCTATATACCCCGCACAAAGACATCGATTTCTGATTTCGAAAGACGGACATGTAGTCAAAATGTCCCGTTTCTTTGTAGTTAAAATTCAGGGGTTGAAGGGTTGAATAATTGACGTTGCTGTTTATAGAGTGCAATAACCGTGAAAAAAAGTACCGACCTTCGGGATGGGGAGCGGTGGCAGGGGACGGGGGGTTCAGAGATAATTGTACGTAGCGAAAAGGGACAGTCTGAAGTAAAGGAAGCTTGGTATGCTTAGTTTTGCATTAGACTCCCTCCCCACCCTCTGAATAATGACCGGTATCCAAAGCATTGTAATGTACCTGTGAAATCCTAAAAATATACCGAACGCTAAAAATTTCCGTATATCAAGCCATAACACTTAGACCGTCAAATCATTCTTCCTCCTTTACATGCACAAGGCGTTGCGATGTAGACGCATTTCCGCTTACAAAACCGTCAACGGGAGCGAGAAGTTAGGTTTCTGTGTGTCTATGGTGATATTTACAGGCAATATTGCTATGCTTATTATTTAAAACCACGAAAAATTTCCCGCTATCCTTTATGATAAAAAGGTTAAATACTGCGTGGTGCTCGTTGTGATTCCAATGCCCATAATTAGAATTCAACTGACTAGCCTAACCGGCCTAATAACGCAACTTGTTCTGATCCGTCGAAATGTTAGAAATTGGTCATGATCAGATCGACAAACCACGCTCCTTAAATAGCCAATGTGATCCGCCCGGAATAGGCTCACTACCCTCCGGGGGAAGGCACTCCCTCTAAACAG